CAGAGTTGTTTTGTTAGAGTACGTGTGTACAAATTTTTATGGAATGTACTATTCTTATTATTTATTAAATTTTCTAGAATTTGATTATTGTTATCAATTGATACAGAATACATGTATAAATTATTAATACGCGTCAAATGTACCACCCGAAATATAATGAATTACCCGAATGCAATCAAATGTCCAACATAAATTAATCAAACAAAAATTTCAAAGCTAATAATAATTATCATGCAATTATTTAGGTAAATTAACTAGCACGCTTCAAATATTGAATGTTATTATTAATAAAAATTTCAAATAAAGATAAATTAATTTTTATTATTATTATTATAATAATAAAATATATTTATTAAATCATTTAATTTTATTAGATATATAGTTATTATAATAAATGAATAATCAATAACATTTATTAATTAATTACATGATTTATTATATAATAATTAATTATACAAGTTAAAGAATTATGAGATAATATTAATTCTAGAAAGATATTCAAATATTGTGACATTTCAGTAAAATAAATGGAATAGAAAATAAATTGATATTTAATTATGAAAATTTATTAAAAGAATAATAATGAAAATTTTTGTAGATAATTTATTGATAAAGAGATATATAAAAAGTAAAAAATTATTGGATTAATAAATAAAAATTAGAATTATTAAATAAATAAAATTTTATTATTATACCCAGATATTCTTTATAATATAGAAATATAATTCTTTAAAGTAAAACATACAGACATAAATCAAAAATAAATTCAAAAATTAATAAAGAATATAAATTATAAAGAGATTTATTAGTCAGAAATTTATAATATTTTGATAAATTACAGATATTTAATTATTATATATTTTTTACTAATTAGAATTAAGTACTTTTTATTGCGCTAAACGTAATGCGAATCTTATTCCAGCTGAAGAATTTATGCTAGCATTGAAACGATTTACGCAACGTAGATTATCAGTATAATCTATACGTGAAGATAGTCCACTATCAACTTACAATATTTGGTGGAAGCAACTATTGGGTGTTGGTCAGATGAAATAGATGAAGGATTTAATTTAGACATGTTTCCTCCGTCACTTTTGGTAAAAAATACGAGTATATCATCTATAAAAAGGAAGATAGAGGTAAGTGATCATTTGCTTGATAATAACATTGTGTCATACGGGGAGTTACTTTGACCAAATTTTTTTAGATGGCGGCTGCAGAAAGGCAGACTACAGTGAAACAGGCCAAAATTCCACAAAGAAGAACAAAGGTTGATTTTTAAAAAATAAACTTGTAAAATGTCACATCTTTACTAAGTTAATACATCCTTATAGTATCCAGATATTAGCAATAACAATTATTCATTTAATGCAAACGTATAATTTAATTAATGATTAGTATTTGGAAATTATTTTTTATCATAGATCTATCTTATTGTTACTGTTGGTAAAATACAATACAAAATTTGTCCATATATCTATTATTATGTTTGCATTATTCCGTTTTGATAATAATAACCAAGATTATTCATTTCATCAACGTGCCTTGCTTCTGCAAATTTTTATCAAAATTTACTAAACGAAGTTACTACATATAAGAATTATAAGCCATTTATATTGTTATGGAATTTATTCACAGATTTTTTGCCTGTAATGTTGGTGGGAAACGGGGAATTAGACTGTTATTTTCATTTGCCTGTGCCTATCTACGGATATTGTTTGATGCGTGGAATTGGAAGCATTACAGAGAGAAGGATTTATGAGAAATTCGGGATTTAGGTAAGTTATTTGGGCGTGAGAACTGAGAGATTAATGCTGCTACAAATAATTAACTAAATCAAACGATTTTTCTAACTAAAAGCCTTAAACTCTTATTCAAATTTAATTAACGATTAATTATTACGATGCCTTTTCTGGGAGTAGCTTAGTCAGTCGTCACAGGTTTCGCCTGATGAAAGGTTTCGTTTGTCATGAAAAATACTTTCGTCAGGTATCATTAATCGGGAATTTCGAGAGGGACACGAAATTCTGAAGGAAATTGTTTGCAGATTTTGCTTCACGCATTTTTTTTGTTTCGTGGAGTTTAACCACAATTTGTTTCGTCCCAATGATTTATGTTATTCATTGACTGCTTAGGCCTCAACAGTGTCATAACGTACAAATCCGAAACCTTTAGACGTGGGGTTTCTTGATCTCGAATAATGCGAGCACTGATGTTTCGCGTATTTACGGAAATTATTAAAAAGATCCTTACTGGTAAATATTTCCATCTAAATTCTTTATAAAAGGTTCCACGGATCTACCAAAGGACGGCGACAATACTAGGAGATGAATATAAACGTATTAAAAAAATATATTATATCTTGTTATTAGTGTTAAGAAAAACAAAATTAATCAAATGTAAGCATTAACTTACATTGACTTTCCCTCTTCTTTTGCATAATGCTGCTATATAATAATGTGAATATGAATAAATTCGATTTACAGATAAAAAGGACGCAAGAAATAATCATATACCATTGTGTGGTTAATTTTTTGAGCCCAAATTTTTTCCATCATCAATATCAATATCAAACGCTCGTGAGATATTGTAAATAAACAAATAACTATAACAAATAACTATTACGTATAATTGTAGAATATTTTGTAAATAATGAATTTACTCATTTGGAATATATAACTAATACTTGTTGAATCTAAATATTTGACATATTAAAATCAATTCAAAATGTCATTTTGATTGAATATACGTAAAAATTAATGTCCGTACCTGTATCAGTGGAGATTGATATTAATTGTGACGTAAAGATTCGACTGATGTAAATTGCATTTGAGTGTATTTGTGGAATACTTTTTTGTAATTTCATCTCCTCGTCAAGTTCTTTCAATTTTTGTCTTTCTAATTTAACACACTCTTTGATTTCTTCATCTGTTTTAGGATGGTCTAAAGAACTATAGCACTGAGAATGCAAAGTATTCGGTTTCCAATAATATTCAACCACTTCGTAGATAGAGTCAGTAAAGTCTTTAAGTCCCTTATCAAATTTTTCAATAATAAATTTGTACCATCCGGGAATATTATTTGGTATCGTAGGTCGTATTTCTTTAATAACGATGTCTAATACGAGATGTACACTCCCCGGTCAAAAGTCTCCGACCACCTGATTTAAGATTACAGATCATTACCTTGTAAAATGAGATTACGCCAAAACTATTAAGCATAAATAAATAAAATTTTTTTTCTATACAGCTCTTGACTTCAGCTACCTGAAAATAAAATTTTTTTTTCTTTTACTATGTCCAAAAGGCATGAACTTACTGAGTTTGAATGAGGAGAGATTATAGGTCTCTGGAAAGGAGGCCATAGTGAACGAAATATTGGAGAAATTCTTGAACATGCTAAAATCACTATTCATGACACTATAACAAAATATAAAATTCAGGAAATGTTACAGATGCTCCATGTTCAGGAAGGCCACCAAAACTTACAGAAAAAGAAATTAGAAGTCTTGTAAAATTAGTTAAGGAAGATTGGCAACAATTATTAGAGGAAATGACAAAAAAATTTAGTGAATCTTTATCAATTTCAGTATCTTCTAGTACTATAAAGCATACTTTAC